GAGTCACTTTTTCTTACCAGGGAACACAGAGCCTCCTGTTAGTGCCAAAACACCAGGCTGCATTGCCAGTTGCCCCTTTTCACTGTCATCTGGCATCTCACTTCACCACCAAAACCATCACCTCTGAGCTAAGACCCAGTCACAGCTCCCTGCCATCTGCCAGTTGCCATTTCCAACCCTACCCAGTCTTAACTCACTGGGAGCATTCTGCAGAGGCATGGCTGCACTCCCCAAAGGTGTGTGTGCTGCTCACACAGCAGCACCTGCACAGCCATGGCAGCACTGACTGCTAACCTGCACTGCATCCCTGCCAGCACGGGAGTAGCTGGTCTGTGCAGGGCCACACCACCCCCAGGCTGAGTGATGTGGTTCCCAGGGTGGGTTCATGGGATAAAGACCACGTGGATTTGAGTCACCGCCTTGGCTGAAGGTAAGAAAAGCGCCACAAGTGCTTCCTAGTCCTTCTGCTCCTTGACAGTGTTAACAGGGAAACTGCATCCTTTCCATGAATTCAGCGTGAGGAACTGCATGAAAGATTCTTGGTAGCATGACCAATTTTAAAACCTTCAGATTAAAAGGCAGCAATTCTCACGTTACTGGGAACTGATAAGGACAAGGACAGCACACAGTCACCGTTGGGGAAACAGCTAAGCTAAGACAAGCTGTAATATAAGAGACAGTGAGTGGGATTCATGTGTAAACTCTGGACACCTACAATGTGTAAATTATTCATCTCATTTGGACGAGAACATCTACGTGTGGTCACATGAACTGCACTGTTACATTTAGCTATTTCTCCTCCTACGTGATTCAGGAATAGTGCCCTGCAATATCTCGCTCCAGGACCTTCGTATTTGGATAGATAAATCTCACACCACATCTAGAGGTAGTATCCCTCTGCTTAGAAGGTAAATTCTAGGTGCTACAAATGTCCCTGTCAGAATTTGAAATCAATCTCACTTTTTCTCATTTGCTTTTAAATTTCTGAACCTTCACAACTTCAGAAAACAAGACTTATAGAAGACCCACACTTTACCTTCTATAATCAGTATTTTCTATGTGATCGCAAGTGATTTATTCAAACTAAAAAATAATACTTCTTTTTTGATCTTTTGTTAGAACTAATTAGAATTCCTTCCCATGACTTTCCACTTTGATCTGTAAATCAATTTCTGACCCTACCAGCAACTTGTGAAATATTTATTAGCACAGGAATATTATCACAGTCTGATTATTGTCTAGATCACCCAGCAGCATACATGCCAGGATGTTATTGCTGAGAAACTTGGCTGTGGTGTTTATCTGTAAATTGTGACGGTAATTTTCCATGTCCCACACTCTGCCTTACTACAGGTTTTTGTTTACCATCTTCTGGTCTGACAGTACCATTCCATCTTGCCTGTCTCTTTGGCTTGCTGTACAGACATAATCTTGCAAAGCAGGATTACAAAATCAATATGAATAAATCAAATAATGGTATTATAATGAAGCAAGCTTCATAAGAGAAATTTAATCACTCATGGATATCACATTTATTTTAAAAGCAGAGTGTCTGATTTATGGTTATTCTATGCCTTGGATATTAAATGTGGAATTAGATATAATTTAAGGGGAAGATATAGTACATGTCTACAGAAGTATATGCATCATGGAAAAGATGGGTGAGGATTGGTCCAGATACATTTCCATAGGGGCCTGTCTAATTTGATGATTTGATTCCATTTGAAGCAAACAGAACAAGGTAGGTTTGATACAATGGATGATACATCCAAAGGTTGTAGGCCTTTGGAATTCCTTAATAAAGAGGCTGTGGATGCCAGAAATTTACACAGTCCCAACAGGATACCAGAAAAATACCCTGAGATCTTTTGGGGGTTATCAAACCATCACAAGCTCAGGAAATTCCCTCACCATTGTTGGAAGCTGGGACAGTTAGGGAAAGGCATCAACACAGGCTACCTCATTTTAACACTTCCTTAATTGACCAGTTGCAGCCACATTTGGAGATGTAAGGGACGAGATGGCTGCTCCTAAGTTTGTCAGGCTTGTAGATGTTTAGACCAAGGTTCCTCAGAAATGCTTACTAGAGCTGGCATTATTTCTTCATGGAAAAACATGAGCAAGCATCTAGAGTCAGCATCTAGACAGCAGATGATGCTAAGGGCTTAGGTAGGGGAAGATAGGAGAAATACTACAGGCAGTTTCTGAAAACAAAAAGCAAGCTGATTGTTTTGAATTAAGTAAGTGCATGGGTGAAAGAGGATTCAAAAAGAAGATTACAATAGTGAGAGTTAGAAAAGTGGTCTTTCAGCTGCAGTCTCAAGGAGCAGGACAAGACTGTCAACAGCCGACAAATCGTGGGGAAACAATTACAATGTTGAAAGTCTGAGCAAAAGTTTCACACATCAGCTGTACCGCCTCAGGCTGCCAGAGCCATGCTCAGTATCATCCCTCTGGCAGCAGCAGGAACAAGTGCATAAGGTGTTTTGGTTCCTTGTGTTGGAATGGAAAGCTTGTATATTGGAGGCTGATAAAATACAAATGTAGTCCAAATGCAGCTAGAGCTAGAGAAATTGATGCATCTATCCCTCATCACAGATAGGTAGGACTATTGAGGCTTGAAGCCTGACTCAGAAACTGTCCCCACTTTTCCTCAGCTGTGGGAACAACACAGGCTGTACTTGTTCCCAAGTTCACCACACCTCACTGCTCTGCCAGGAGCACCTTGCCTTGCTGGGGTACAGCTGGTGACCAAGCCCTCTCTGCTGCACTACATCACAAGTACCCACTGTACCTGGACAAGGAGGTAAGAAAAGGGTACTTCTCCTCCCTGTCTTCTGCCTATGAGGTAGGTACTGCATGTCAGTCCTTACAGAAGACCAACAGAGGCAGAGCCCATGGAGGGTTAGAAGCAGGGAAAATGAAATGAGTGATGGTTACAGGTTCAGGTTCAGGGTCTATTGCCTTCTGATCTTCAGTACTCTTCAGGAGCATGTGGCACTGACAGCTTTGTGTCTGCTGCCTGGGATCCTTGCTCAATCACTATCAGGACATCCCGCTTGCCTTGCTCATTATCTCCCTGCCTGGATGGAAGGACCCCTGCCAAGAAGTATTATTTAAAGCTTGCACCCAATATTTAAACTTGAGTAATAAACACAACCATCATACTGTTTACAGTGACCAGGGAAATGAAAATTTCAAGGCAAAGATAAAAATCCCTGCCTTACTCTTGTGAGTTGCACATGACAGCTGCAAATCTTTGAGAGAAATGTCAGCAATATTTGTTTATGTTTATCTCTGGTTGTTATCTAAGTACTGCTAAAAATAAAGTCCACAAACAAGAAGCAGGATCTGTGACCTGGAGCTTTTGTCTGAGCACCATTGCTGCAGGCTATGATGCAGCACATATGGCCTCCTTTGGTGCTGTGTGGTGTAGCTTTTTCCCAGAGTGTCAATCTGTGCTCCATTCCCAGCCTGTTCCAGAGAAGGACAGCAAAGTCTGGCCATCTCTGTAAGACCCAGGTCTCGACACCATGAGGCTGTGGGTGAAAGCTGCCCTCTGCATGCTCAGCAAGTCCTCTGCTCCTAGGCTGCTTCACCAGGTGTGGCCGACCCCACAAGTGCTTTAAAAAGACAGCATCAGTAAGGGCTTTATATTGGCAGCACTGAAATCCCGACGTGCCCGCAGATCCAAGCCCTTCAGGGCCCGCTTGGGTGAGGGATTTCCCTCTCCCTCATCGCTACTCTCTCCATCCCTCAGCCGCGGAGCTCCCGCGTACCCGGGCCTGAGCTGCCCTGTGCGGGCTCCGGGAAGGAGAAGGGAGGGAGCCCGCGGCCCGTCCTGCCGGGACCGCCCGTACCGGTGCCGCCGGTGTCCCCGGGCCGGGCCCGAGACCCTCCCGGTGCCGGTGCCGCCGGTGTCCCCGGGCCGGGCCCGAGACCCTCCCGGGGCCGGTGCGCATGGGCTGTGCCGCACCGGCTGCTGCGGCCGCGCCGCTCCCGGCCGCCCTGCCGCGGCCGCGCCCCGCTCCGCAGGCTCCAGCTGCTCGCTGGCATGCCTTAAAGGACCTCTGCGTTCCCGCAGTTCTTTCCGGGCTGCTCTTGCCGCCTCCTCCTCCCCACGGCTGCGAGCCCCTTCTTGAACTGCTCGGCACGCTGTCGCTGCTCGGTGCAGGCGGGCACTTCCATGCGAGCGCCAGCCGCCCGCTGCCGTAACGTGCATCAGCACATCAGCCACCTCCCGCTCCGAGCCCGGAGCGATTTCATTACTCGTCGTGGTGCAGGGACCATTTTTCGGCAGGAAGGTCCAGCGTAAGTGTATTTTCGGCTTCCGCTCTGCTGTGCCGGCCATCGGTTTTGCTCACCATCCCCCGGGAGCCGAGGGAACCGAAGTTGCCAGGTAAATGCCCCCTTCCTTGTCTGCAGCGCTTCGGGAGGCGGCTCCGGTCTGCCGGCTTGCATGGCTGCTGCGCCGCTGTTGCACAGCACGGGTTCGGAGCGGAGGCAGCGCTCAGTGGCACAGCTGTCACCGGGCATCTCGTGTCGCCGCCCGCCTCTCGCGGCAGGCTCCGCACGGCTGCGGGAGCGGGAGGCTGCGGCGCTGCCCGGGCCGGCGGGGTGCGGGGCCGGCGGGGCGGCAGCGCGGCCCCGCCGTCACCGCTGTCGGTGTTGTCCCCGCAGGCCGGGCGGGCGCCGCCCGTCCCCGGGGAAGCCCGGCGGCGTGAGGCCGCCCGCCGCCGCTGCTTATGCAACACATCATCGATAACCACCCCGACATGGCCACGGCGCTGCTGGCGGGCGAGAAGCTGAAGGAGCTCATCCTGCCGGGGCAGCAGGATGACAAGGCGGGCGCGCTGGCCGCTCTGCTGCTCCAGCTGAAGCTGGAGCTGCCCTTCGACCGCGTGGTCACCATCGGGACCGTCCTCATCCCCATCCTCCTCGTCACCCTCGTCTTCACCAAGAACTTTGCCGGTAAGGGCGGCAGGACGGGCAGGGTCGTGTCCCGGTGCATGCCAAACAGGTGCTGGGAGATGTCAGCCATTCCCCGCCCTGGCGGGAGGGGACAGCGGCAGTGGCCGCTGCCTCAGAGCCACCTGTGCTCAGGAGCCGGCACTGCCCGTCGCGGCGGGCAGGACAGGGCTGTCGCCGCGCTGGGCAGGGCAGGGGTGTCGCCGTCCAGGCCGGTCCCTAACGGGGACAGCTGCTGGCTCTTGCCTTGGCCGGCAGGCGAGGCGTGGGGAGGTGCTGGTGCTGCCCAGCAGCAGGTGAGAGCTGGCGGCGGTGACAGGGCGGGTTAATGCTTGAGGCAGATCCTGGGCAGGTCCTGACTGGACCTGGCTGATGTCAGGCATTGTCCTGGTGTTACTTCAGGCGTCTACAGCGTGTTAAGTGGTCTACCAGGGAGAGGCTGATGCTTTCATGGAGACTGATACTATGTATGGAGCCCCGTGCAGTGTGCTTTGCTGGATTGTGACAGTGGAAATCACTGGTATCTGTGTCTGCTGAGGGTCATCTTGCGTAAACTGGTAACAGTTTAAAAAGCCTGGTTTGAATGCCCATCACCACCAGTCTCAGAAGGTGAGGTTTTGGTGAGCCTTGAAAATTACTGATCCAGTAAACTGTTAGGACACCTTTTGGGCCACTAGATGTGTAAACATTGTTTTGCTGTGTGGATTATAGGCTTGATGAGTGTAGCTGCCAGTGCATGACTGCTTTTAATGTCCCTTGAAGCTCCTGAAAATCCATGGGAAATTATTGGTGCTTTAATATGCAGGACTGACCTGGCAGTCTGTAGCTTGTAAATTGCTGAGAATTGGCTGTACTTAACCAGCTTAAACCAGAATCAGGCTCTTGCTTTGCATGCTGCTTTGGGATTGACTTCCAGTCCTTAACACTTGTTTTCATTATGAGGTGAAGTTAAATCATCTGGAAGTATAACTGCTTACAAATGGTGTCTGGAGATTTTTCTTAATCATAGTTAAAACTTTTTCAATCCACCTCAGTTTTTTAAAAAATAGTTTTATAGCTCAAGATCTTCAACCACAGTTAATAAGAACCTCATCTTTTGGATGCTGTTCTGGAGGTATCTTGGAGAAGCCATGTTTGCATGGTACATGAACACTGGCTCTTCATAGCAACTGAAAGACAGGTTTCAAGGTGACCTTAGAGGATCCTCTGTGGGGTGCAAAAGTTTTGTGATCGCTTCCTCTGCAGAGGATTAAGCTAATAAAAAGGCAATCCTACAGCAGCTCACGAGAGTGCATGCTTACATATATACTTTCATACTGTGTGAGGTGTACAGATTTGAGCCTCAGTAGGCCTAAAGACAGCCTTGGATGCGGGCAAGGTCATGTCCCCTTCACATGTGTTCCTTGACATAGGGCAAGATTCCTACCAGAAGCCCCTTGATGCCTCAGTGCTTGGTCAGACAGCAGTAGCTTGCTCCATATGAAGAAGTCATCTGAGGCTGCAGATGGTAGAGCAGTATCAAGTCTGAGATTCAGATTTATACAGTGGATGTCTCTCTGCAAAGCTAAACTGTAGTCCCACATACAGGAGAAAGAGGATCTGTTGAATTTACTCACATCTGCCTATGCTTCTGTTGTTGAGTTTATTTTGTGCTGTGGAAGACTATTATCTGGGCTCACACTTGTGTTCCAGATTTGTTTTTCAGAAGGACTAAAAGCAGTGTCACTTATGTCTACTTATGGGCTGTGTATGTTGATTTGACCCAGTAAGATAGAGAGCAGTTGCCTATTGTGTCCTGCCGGGACAAAACTTTATAAGGTAACACATAAAACACCCTTACATCTCTGCGAAAACATGGGATAAGATTTTTCTCTCATATGATGTCATGTTTCTTCAGATGGTCTGCAGTTAGAAAAATAATAGGAGAAAATGAAAAAATTATGCAACAGAATGTAATTGAAAAAGTCTAAGGATCTAATAAAACTAAATAGATAATTTTTAAGCTTAAGTGAAAGAGTTCCAGGTTAGTGAATTCAATTCTGCTTCCACAGAGTTCAAGAGCAAAACTTACATTAATTTTAATGTGATCTTAATCAGACGTTGCTCTTTTAATGAAACAGTATTTACTCAGACTTCTTTCCTAAGTCATGCATGTCCAGAGATACTGACCCTGGTAATAACAATAGTTCAACTGGATTCATGCTTACTACTGATTTTACAGTTTGTGTTGTTTCACCCATACACTGTCACCAACCTTGAAAAAAAATCTAACTTTGTTTGCTTTGGATACTGCTTCTTCTGTGCAATTTAAATAGTAGCTATGCAAGTACAAACTTTGCTGATGTAAGGTACCTACTGCCTTTTGGTTGTGAATATCATATCATAATAGCTTCCCAAACTTTGCTTTGGGCCCTTGAGTGCTTTTCTGATACTTGCCCTTATTTCTCATTTCTGTTAATGATACCCAGTGCAAGCTATGTGAAGATACCATCATGCCACTAAACTGAAAAAAGCCCCCTTTTCTGGGGTCTATACCATCTTACTTAATCAGTATTGGTAAAGCTTTTGGAACAATGGTGTGTGCACTCGAGACATGAAAATGTTGCTGTCTAAAAGCAGTGGTTTCTCAAAACTTTTTTTCTGAGGATTGGAAGAACCCTCACGATCAGTGGGTAGAAGAAATCAGAGCCTCTTATCTAGTTTATGTGTGTGCAAAGTGTAGCTGAAAGTCAAGACCAGCTGTACAGTCTGTCCAACAAGCCTAGTGAGAATTGGTCAGGCAGGGTGGGTGTCCTGCCCTGGGGGTGTGCAGGGGGCACCCCATCATCCTGGGAAGCCTGGGAGTCCCCAAGCAGCAGGAAGTCTGCTGGGGCCAGAGGCTGCAAGGAAGCACATATGAAAGCAAAGTTCAGCCCTTCATCAGAGGACAAAGAAAGAACATGGTGTTTACTTAAAAGATTGTAATTGACAACCTTAAAGGTCATTATGACTGTAGTATATATTATTGTATGCTCTATTTTGCCTGTGACTGGAGATAAAGCTACCTAGTTAATTATGTTGTTTTAGTGCCATGGGCAAAGTCATTGTTTTGGTAAATGCATGTGCTCTTCATGTAAGTGATTTGTTTGCCCTTGAGTTTGAGTGTTCTGATCTTTAAATTTCTTTTGAGAAATTTAATGGCAAATTACTGTTTTGGTAGCATAAGAGGCAAGACCTAATTATGTAGCAGATTCTATGCCAATATTATGAAAAAATCACAATTCATCTGAACTTAATGTGTTACAAAAGACTTTAAGTTAGATATTGTGCTTTTCTTCTATTATATGTATCATAAAGTCAAAGAACAGTTTGGGTCGGAAGGTGCTGTGGAGATCATATGTCCAACTCCCTGCCATGGATATGGATGCCTTCCATTAAACCAGGCTACTCAAAGCCCTCTCCAGCCTGGCCTTGAATAGTGCCTTGAAGAGATGGGACATCCACAGTTTCTCTGGACAGTCTGTTCCAGTGCCTCACCACCCTCACAATAAAGAATTTCTTCCTTGTGTTCAATCTAAAGCTACCCTTTTCCAGTTTAAAACCATTGTCCTGAGATACAGGCCCTGCTGGAAGTCTGTCCCCATCATTCTCAAAAGCCTCCTTTAAGTACTGCAAGGCCTGTTAGGTCTTCCTGGAATCTTCTCTTTTCCAGGCTTTTCCAATGCCAGTTCTCTCAGCCTGTCACAGAAGTTCTCCATCCCTCTGATCATTTTCGTGGTCCCTCTGGTATCACCTGGGCAGATGTTTCCTTAGCAGAGGGTTCCAGAGCTGGGTGCAGTTCTGCATGTGCAGTCCCATGAGAACAGAGTGGAGGCTCTGGACCTGCTGGCCACACTCCATGTTGTGCAGCCCTGGATGCTTGGTGTCCTCACAGTCTGGCTCGAGGTGGGAGGAGGGGTTGTCATCCTTGGTGTTCTTTTGCTCTGTAAATGAATCTGTAACGTAGCTAAAATGTACTGGGAGATAAGGTTTTGTTTCCATACGTCACTACTAGGTGGCAGTGCATTTGGGGTGAAATTGGGCTCTCTGCAGGAGGAAGGCAAAGGGCAGACACTCTGCTAGGATGTGCTCCTGAAAGTTAAATTCAGGCTGCAAAGGAGGCAGTAAGAGCTTGACCATTGATTTCAATGGGGACAAGAGTTCACTATGATGGCTGAAGTAAGATACGTTTCTTGCATTGATTCCCACTTCCTAAAGCTTTTTCACAGGTGGAAAGAAAGCCATGTAGCTAACATCCTACTGTGCCATTTCTGAGTCTCCTAATTCTCCTTTGTTTTTCGATCAAACCAGTGTGATTCCAGAAAGGACACCCCTAGAAAGTTAATTAAAATAAATCTATGAGCCATATTTTTACTGAGCGTAAGATCATCATAAAGTCATCTAGGAGCTATGTTCAGCTGCCCAACACAAAGGAAGCCCACATCAGCACTCACAAAAGAAGAATGAATATTGTTTCCCTTTCTAAAACTCAACCATGGATGGACTTCGTATAAAACTAGCATATCCTCTATTTAGAGGCCCATGTATGATGACCTTGAGGATAATAAAGAAAGTTTTTGAGGCATTTTTCTCTCACCTAGTGGATGGAATCTGTATTTAACTATGAGTTTTCTGGCTTCCTGGAGTCAGAGAGCTCTCAGAAGGTAGCATAGGCTAAAGGATGTCTCTCCAATAGCAGTGTCCTTGTTGAGGTAACAGTGTGTGCAGTGGGTGGTTCCAAGGGAACTTTGGCTTGATCTGTTTTTGTGTGAAAATTACTGCTTTAAAGATAACAACTAAATTTTTTATTTAAATATGAGAGCAAATGTGTTTGAAATTCTGTCAGAACAGCGACATAACCCCCATCACACTCTATACAGTCTTATGCATCTTCTGGAGCACTCATGCAGATGTGTATGCAGTGCTTTGCAGAGATCCATGCTTGTATTTGACTCTCTGGAAGTTTGATTTCTCACACCGAGCTTTTTATTTCCTACCAGTTAGTTATTCCTGTGCAAACTAGAAGTAAAATACAACCAGTATGAGCAGAGAATTCAGATTTGATAGTACTGTGCTGTCCCACTGTATGAATAGGTGACTATACCAGGTACTGCCTCGTGGTGAAGCAAATTTTATGTCTGTTAGTATTGGTAGTCACATTTGTCTTTCCATTTTAACTGCATTAAAGCCTCCTGGGTTGTTCCCTTTCCTATGATAAAGGTTTAGGGATTCTTTTTATTGGAAGTGTTTCCTTGTTAACCTAAGTCAGCCTTAGGTTAATATTTAGTGAAAGAAAGGTAATACACCAAATTTAATTAAATTTTAGAAGGTAGGGATTTAAGGTACATAGTCTTAGTCCAGCTGTAGTCTGTGTTGGTTTTCAGTTTATAATTTTTTTTTAGTTATAAAGTTTCAGTGTCTCTTGTCAAGGCATGGTCAGTCTGGAATGGTATGGATATAGAGAAACAAGATCATTCCATCAGCCTTTCCATTTTCACTTCCTTTCCAAAATGCACAGAATGTGGGGTATTAGACTGCCAGTTTGAGGTGGGTCTGTTTGATATTCCATGTTTTTTATCCTTCTCTCTCCCTGGTTTTGCCATGGCATCAGTACACAAGCTGCAGCCACAAGTAGGATGCTGCTGGGTCAGCATGTGCTGTATCCTCTCCTCCGTGGCTGGCAGTGGTGCCACAGCAGCAGGTGCCAGCCTTTGGTGTTGAGTGTCTCATGGCATTTGCTGAACTTCAGAACACTCTTCTGTAATCCAGTAGATTGAGAGACACTTGGCTTTCATGATGTGCTGCTTAGTTCTTTTGTATCACTTCATGTTTTTAGTGACTGGTTTAAATATTCCAGGGTTGTGCTGGGTTGAGAAGCAACCCCATCAATAATGTCTGCGGGAAGTTCTCTCTGTAAGGGACCAGAGAGTGGTGCATCCCAAAGGAGATTACATTGCTGGTTTTGTTGTGTTATCTTCACAATATTGAAATATTTTGGTTTCCAAACTGATGTTGTAATGGGATTGCTAAGTCATATCCCTCTAGTACAGTGCCTCATGCTTTCTATTCACAGTGAATTATTCTTTCCATATTGCAGCATGTTTGCTTTTCCCACCCAAGCTGTTAAATGCCGGTACTTTATTAAAATAAAGCAAAGCATTCATCCAGTTGGTTTTTATACTTCAGTCAAAAGCCAAGCTTTAGCATTGGTTTTCATACTAGGTTCTTAAAACAGTGCCTGCAAAATACAAAAGAGGTTGCTCAAAAATACTGTATTTCTGTGTTTCTTAACACTTGTGTAGTTCAGCCCTCTACCTACCATCCTTCTGCTAGAAAATTTTCATAAGAAAGCAATGGAAGGAAACAATATTTAGTGACTGAAGTATCACTTCAAGGTTTTATGTTATATTTTCTGATTTGCAATGATTTGCAGAAGCAATGCTTACATTACTGTGTGATACAGTATATGCATGAGTTCAATGTCTTTTCCACTTTTCACCCTACGGTATGTTTGAAATAGAATATGTCAGATTTTTATATTATGAGACGGAGTTTTATTTTGTATTTCTGGTCACTTTTCTAATTTGTATTTGTTTCGAATTGTGTCAGGATAATTACAAATGCTTATTTAGGTAACTTACCTAATAGATGGCTTTTGATCTTTCCATTTTTTCTCTCCAACTGCACTTGAAGAAAGTGAAGATGGCATTTTCCCAAGTGACTTTGTTAGTGCTAAGAGTACAGAGCCAGATTGTTTAGTGTATGACAAACTGATGACACCGGTGCAGAAATTGTTCTGA